AACTGTAAGCTCTGGTTCAAAATCATCGTCTGGAATTCTCTCTTCAGTGAGCTAATAAACAGCCCCTGAGCCTAGTGAAGACCCTCCCCCAAGGGAAGGTGTAGGATGGTGGATTTGAACTAAACTCCACCAGGATCTGAGAAGCAGGGGTTGCAGGAAGAGCTATTGCATTCTGCTCTTTCCCCAGGAACCTCAGGCAGTAGTCTTGGGCCTGGAATTTTTGGAGAGGAGACAGTGTGTGGGGAGGGAAGAAGGTAGGAATTTTCTTCTTCTCTGAAGTTAAATGGATCCAAGAGCTCTATTAGAGAGGCTGTGTAAGAGCCACACTGCTATGGAAAGAAACTTTGGCAGGTTGTAGAAGGAAGGCTAGTCACCAAACTGATAGCTGTGACATTGTGGACATTCAAGGAAGAAGGATAGCCCCAAGGGATCCCCAAGGCTCTGTTGGCCACTGGGAAGAGGGAAGGATTCTGTCCTTCCAGAGGAGACTCTAGGAGGGAGACACATGGGGGGAGACACATGGGTCTAGACCCAAGGAGAAGAGGTGTGTGCAGATATCTTAAAGTTAGGGCAAAATGATGAGACTGGGTCATAGGCTGTGCCATATGGCAGGAGCCACAGCCAGATTCCAAAAGCTTACCCACTGAAGAAGGTACAATTCAAATCCCAGTGGAGTGGAGACAGTCATGTCTGCTAGGGCCAGAAGACATCTGAGAAAGGAGAATAAATACACATGCACATTTTTGCTTGCATGTGTATTGATACCTTGGGAGGATACGCAAGAAACTATGGTTGCCATAAAGGGAACTGGGTGGTGGGGGATAGAATTTTTATTGGCACTCTTGATTGTGGATTTCCCTCCTTCTGAATATTATTACTTGGATAACACCAATCTCAAATCTACACAGGGAAGCCAAGAATGAAATATTGGAGTCTAAGATTTTGTGAGGTCATCACCAGATCTGGAGGACCTTGGTATCTTGGCTAGATAGTCCCAGAAGAATTATCAATGATCTTATGTTCTTTCAATTTTCTCTACTTAATCAAGTTTTTCCCATATATTTCTGGCTTTCTTCCGGGGAGTTATCTGCAATTCCCTCTCAACCTTTTCTTCCTGAGTTATCCGATGGTGTACTCTAACTTTCAAATTTTGATGACTCTTTAGTTTACATGTATAGCCCCAATAATTACGTGGATAGAGAAGAGACACCTCAAAAGAACTAATTCATTTCTCTCCACTAGCCTACTTGCTATATTCTCTGTTATTACCAAAGCCAGGAACATGGAGCCACCCTCGATTCTTCCCTTTGCCTCACCCCACCCACCCACCATTCAATCCATCACCAAGTCAAGTGATTTGACTCCTAACAGTCTCTAGAATGCAATCTTCATCCTCATTTCTGGCCACTCGACCACCTCTAAGGACTAGAACCAAAATGTAAACTTCAATCATCTTTTGCCTGCACCTTTGCAACAATCTCCTAACAAGTCTTCCAATATGGGCCCCTCCAATCTGGCCTAACTGATCTCTCTAAAACACCAATCTGACCAAGTCAATCTATTAAATCTCTTTACTGGCTCTTCCTTGTCTATCACAACTGTTTCAACCATAAAATGCCTGAAAAATGGCACTTTCCTGGGCAGATCAAATTTCTTAGGGGATACTCAAGTACAAGCCAAACTGGGGTGTATGCTTGACTCTTATGCCAGTATCAGTGAAGCAGCCCCCTTCTCTCTCATTGGCCCAGTACATAGTAGGTTGTAATAAACCAGTAAGTCCAAAAACTCCATCAAGGAATTCTGACCCATAAACTATACTCTGGACTCCATTGAATGCCTACAAGGTCTTCTTGATTAGACATGCCTAACTCTTCACCCTCACTTCTTGTCACTCATTTCATGTTCCTTCAGATGAATTTCAGAAATTGTGCAATGTTTTTCTTTCATGTCTTTACCCATATTATTCCTTCTGCCTGAAGTGTACTTCTCTGACTTAAATATCCTCGTCTGCCTGACAAACTCCTATTTATCCTCTAAAACCTGCCAGGCATCACTTTTAATCACCCTCACTTCCATAGCTACCGTTTCTATGCCTTGTATATGTTCTAACATAGCATGGGTCTTGTGCATTGTAATAACATGTTTATATACTCTCTACACCCAGGTTTCTAAGGTCTTTGAGAACAAGACCATGTCACACTCATCATAATACTCCAATGTTTGCCCTCATCCCTGACACACAGTATGTGTGCAGGAACTATACATTGAACTGAATGGAATCCAGATTTCTCCTTTCCTACCTTTCTAATATGAATGTATATGGGCATTTGATCTTATTCAGTTTAGTTCTACATGATATACTGACTTACACAGGGTTTTCATTGGGTCATTGTGACCTTACAAGTTTTGATAAGTTTCCTTGTACATTACAGTGGTCTCTCTTTCATGTCTGACCTTACCAAGAAAACCAAAGTCCAAACAAGATGAACAGAGGGTATTCCCAATATTACAATGTGAATAAAGAAAGTTGTAACCTTAGAAAGAATTTAGAAAATGTGTATGTCAGAGTACTAGAACACATCCCTGTTCATTCAACAGTGTCCCAGTGCTGTAGCTGGTGACCCCAGATGTCCACTCACCCATGGAGAAGGTAAACTATCTCCCTCCCTCAGGGCCACCCAACTCCCTCTGTTCTGAATCTGCCTTTTGTGACTCATTCAGTTTCCCTGGTACCATGACAACAGGATGCGGAGGTACTGGTATTTCAGTCACTGAAAATGTAGGTTCCCCCACAAACTAAGGCATGGACATTTCAGTTGATACACCCCTCTCTCATGTGTTTGGTTCACAAATAGCTATCCTCTAGAGCAGATTCAACTTGAGTGCATTAAGAAAATCAATTTTATGTCCCTACAGAGCTGTCACTGGACCACATTAACCAGATCAAGTTATTTTCCTTCTTAGTGTCCTTGACAGCCAGCTATTGCACTCTACTTCTTTGTCACTCCTTTTTAATTTCACTTAACTACTTCTATATAACACATTCACAGTTCACAAAGCTTTTTCACATTATGTATTTTTACCATCTTGATGTCTAGAGGTAAATACTTTCATCCTCATTTAACCTACAGGAAAACTGAGGCTCAAAATGGTCATGTGGCTTGTCCAAGGATCCACACATCCTGTAAGCTGTGGGTTATTTTCTTTGTCGGCCCCTTAAATATCACAGTAGATGAAACTCTGAATCAAAGTTCCTTGAATTTTCTATCCACCGTCATGTGTTCCAAACTCTCACATCAGTCCAGACAGGAGGCGGCTCTGGTGGAAGTGTGACTGGAGAGGAGGGATAGAGCTCCACAAATAGTACTTACAAAATACTGTGTTGATCTATACCCTCTATTTCCTTTGTGTTGACACTGAAGCTAAGAATACTTTTTCTAATGAGAAGCTAAGAAAACTGATCCTCAGAGAAGTGGACTGACTTTCTCATGGTCATAAAACCTCTGGGAAGCTGACATTCATTTGTTCCTCAGAACAAGCATCTACTGAGTGGCCTGGAGACCAAGGAACAATGTTACAACAGCCAGGCCATAGACATCATCATCATCATCACCATTACCATTAAAATTGACACTCACTGAGCATTTACTATGTGCTAATCATCCTATTCAATTAGCACAATAATCCCCAATTTAGAGATAATAAAACTCAAGTGGAGAGAGGTCTGTAACTTGTACATTATCACTGAGCTAGTAAATGATGGTGGTCCTGTAGGTTAAATGAGGATGAAAGTATTTACCTCTAGACATCAAGATGGTAAAAATACATAATGTGAAAAAGCTTTGTGAACTGTGAATGTGTTATATAGAAGTAGTTAAGTGAAATTAAAAAGACCCAAACTCAAGCACATCTGAATCCAGCCATCCATGTTTCTGGCCACTATGATATCCTGCTGTATTACTTCACCAGAGTGGGCTCTATGTCCACAAATGAACTTAGATTAAACAGAGCCTTGGGTAGTGGCCTGAAAGAGAGGACAAATGGATATCCAGCTCTCCATTACTCCTCTTGGTCCCTGAATTCTGCCTGCCAAAGTCTGTATTGTGGTTGCAGTAGCTGCTGACCTCGCAGTACCCACACCCTTCTCATCACTGGCTGTTCCACATGAACAATTACTCTTCCATGCAGTACCTTCTCCCCTTCTCAATGCCAAACTCCTCCATCCCAACCTACTCACTCGCTGCCCTTTTCAAGAAAGCCTTCTCAAATAAATAAAAGCTGCTACCCTGGTTTCTCCATTCCTCCATGACATATCTACCCTATGGTAAAGCACTTGTCTAGATAAATGTTGAATGTTTAGAGTTAAATGTTGCCTGATCAGCCTCCCCACACGGTTCATGTTCATGCACCCCAACTTCCCCTTATGCCTTGCAGCTCTAGGGTCTTCTTTCCCTCCCACAAAGTACCCATCCAGGATAGATGGTGCCATGAACAAAGGAGTGAGACGCATGGAGAATTTCAAATGCAGTTTATTGCAGCAACACAGGGAAACAGGAGTTCAAGACCTCTCCACAAAAGTCAAACAGCTTGCTTACACCTTAGGTACAAAACCAAAGCAGCACAGAGTTTGCTGCAAGGGACAGGATAGTAATGAGCTGCCCAGACCATGTGGCTCTGTGCGTGACAAAGAAGCTGTGGGTCTAACCAGCCTTCCTCTGGCTGACTTAGGAGGCCTTCTGAAATGTAATGTGTGTAGCGTGATGACTGAACTGTTCCTGAGGCAAAGCACAAAGCAGGGTCATAGCCAGGGACTGATGCTGCTGCTGATTTAAAAACTTTGGGAAGCAGAGCCGAAAGGAAAGAGCTGGGGGAATAAGATGAACTAATGTAACTAACCAGCAGCTTTTTTCTTCAATGAGGCTGGGGCAACTGACTTTGGTCTTGCCAAGCATATTTGGTAGTGATGAAGAGGGACAGCTAACGGGGCAGAGAACGCCTCTTTATCTGGTCCCTCGGGAATAGCTGGAAGAAATAAACTTCACGCTGGAACTGCCACCGGAGGTCTTCGTGCCCCCAGAGCTGGATCCCCGGCCTCCCGAGGAGCCGAAGCTGCCTCCGGAGACGCCGCCGCCCGCGGAACCCCTGCCTCCAGAGCCGCCGCCCCCTCCAGAACCGCCTCTGTGTCCTCCGCTGCTGCCGCCGTAGCTGCCTCCACCGCCACCTCCGGAGCCGCCGCCGTAGCCGCCACCTCCGGAGCCGCCGCCGTAGCCGCCACCTCCGGAGCCGCCGCCATAGCTGCCACCGCCAGAGGAGCTGTAGCCGAAGCTACCGCCGCCTCCTCGGCCACTACTTCCACTGATGCTGGTGTGGCTGGTGCTCACAGCTGCAAGGGGACATCAGTTACCTTCAACCCCAGCTCCCTTTCCATCCTCCCCCCAAAAAAACTGCACAGGCCCCTGTGCTGTACTTACACACACTCACGTTGGGGGCGCACTCTCCAGACATCCTGCAGGAGAAAGAAAAGTGAAGACCTCATCACTCTCCAGCTTCACAAAGTGCGTCCCAGACCCTTGCAGCTGTCCCAAATCTCCCTATCTCAGGCTCCTCTTTGGTCTGAAACCTAATCCGGTCCCCTCTGGCCTCCCCAAACTGTCGTTTTTCTCACAAACAGGAAGAAATCCCCATATAAATTAGACAAGAGTCTTGGCAGTTAATGCAGGTTACCTCTAAAGGCGTTGACTGTAGGTCAGATGACGCCTGAGCCAGCCCAGATAAAGAATAAATGGCTCCATCTCAAAGCATCTCTTCATAGAGATGCTATAGCACTCAAAAAAGAAAAGTGTGGGTGCCTTGGCCAGTCTCTCGTTTGGTTACAGCATCATCCCAACAGGCCAAGGTTGCGGGTTCCATCCCCAGTCAGGGCTCACACAAGAAGCAATGAATGCATAAATAAGTGGAACCACAAACTGTTTCTCTCTCTCTCCCTTCCTTCCTGTCTCTAAAATCAATAAATAAAAATGTTTAAATATGTAACAAAAAAAGAAAAGAAAAGGAAAGAAAAGGAAAGTGATGGATTGTGGCTCCCAGAGGGAAACCAAGTCTTTCATCCCACATGACGTACCTTTCCTTCCCCACACTGAGGACAAGCTGCAGTTACACAGCCACATCTTCAACAGCTGTGAACTTGCAAGGGGAGGAGCACATAAGAAGTAGCCAAACTGCCCAGGGTCCCTTTCTCACCTGCTTTCTTCTCCTTCCAAGAGGGTCCTATAGGTGGCAATCTCCACATCCAGGGCCAGCTTGGTGTTCATCAGCTCCTGGTAGTCCCGCAGCAGGCGGGCCAGGTCCTCCTTGGCCTTCTGCAGGGCATCCTCCAGCTCGTTCAGCTTGCCCTGGGCATCTTTGAGGGCATTCTCACCCCGCTGCTCAGCATCGCTGATAGACTGCTGCAGCGCAGAGATCTGAGGACAGAGAATCCAGCACATTACATACTCTCCTAATACCTAATCCCACCTTGGCCTTCTTATCTCAAACTGATCTCCCCACCCCAGTGAGGCCAGTACTCTGGGTCCAGCAGAACCACAAGAGCTTAAGTCACCTCATGCATTCACCTGTTGGATAGCACACCACTATGTTGCTTTCCTTAAAAGCCCTTAAAGGGGATGCAGCAGACTCTCTTGGCCCTGAGTTGAGGCTTCTTTACCCCATGGCATCCCTCTAAATGCTACCCTGCAACCTCTTGGCTGCCTTTTCTCTCACTCACCACCTTTTAAGTAGAAGGAAGAAACAAGTACCTGCTTCTTTACACTGTCGATTTCAGATCTAAGTCTCTGGATCATTCTATTCAGCTCAGAAATCTCCATCTTTGAATTTTGCAAACTGTCCCCATGTTTGCCAGCAGTGATCTGGAGCTCTTCATACTAAAGATGGTAAATCAAGTCAATTAGATGTGACAGAGCATATACCCTGTCTCACACACCCCAATGTGAGAGAAAATAAGGTAGCAAAATAAGACATTTCAGGAAAGCTGGTCAGACAGCCCATTCACCTTGCTCTGGTACAGGGCCTCGGCCTCAGCCTTGCTCCTCTGAGCAATCTCCTCATACTGGGCCTTGACCTCAGCGATGATGCCATCCAGGTCCAGACTGCGGTTGTTGTCCATGGACAGGATGACATTGGTGTCGCTGATATGCGTCTGCATCTGAGACAGCTCCTGGAAAACATAGGTAGTTCAGTGACTCTTACCGTGTTAAATCAGAAAACAGCTTAGACACCGGGAGGGATCAGGAGATGGAAGATGTATTCTTCTGGGTGGTTGTGGTTTCAAGCTTAAAAGTTCTCCACTTGGTAAACATGGTTGAAATGAGAGGGCTTACCATTTGGTAGAGGGCTGTGAGGAAATCAATTTCCTGGCGCAAGTTGTCAACTTTGGCCTGAAGTTCCACCTTGTTCATATAAGCAGCATCCACATCCTAAAGGAGCAATAGGCAGCATGAAGTCATAGTCTTTCCAGGGCAAATCCCTCTCAGCAGCTTTGAGGGGATTTTTCCAAGTAGAAAGGGTGTTTGGAGTCTATTCCACACCTTTACGTCACAGGTGGATCAGGACCCCTAAATTGCCCCACCGCTGGGATCACCATCACAAAGGAGCTTGCCTGACCTGCTAGAACTTGCCTCCCAATTTACTACATGAAGTGCTGAGGGCTCTGGAGAAGCAGAGTCTGGATAAGTCTGGGTCCAACATAATGTGGCAGGAAAACTGTTTCAGCTATTCATCAGGCCCACTACCTGGCTCTCAACATCGTGACTTCTTTCTGTTTAGTAATTAGAGACCCTGTACTATTCTTTCTTTTAGATGTGAGGTCCATCCTACAGGGTGTGCTCACCTTTTTGATGGTCACAAATTCATTCTCTGCATTTGTCCGTTTGTTGATCTCTTCCTCATACCTGCAAGGAAATCAGAAGTGGATGGGAGCGTCACAGAAAGTGAGGCGTGAAGTTTAGCTTTCTAGACTAAACTAGGCGCTGCTTCTCATTGCTTTTCTGTTACTAGCCTAGGACATTTTGGCCACCCCTTTCCTCTGAGTAGTAAAATCATTAAACAATTTCCAGCTTCCAAAAAGATGAAGATTTCTGAAAATGCCAAATTGATTTGCTTCTAACCTGAGAAAAGATATGGTTACATATTGTTGACAGTCTTAGCTTGCCACTTTCTGGAAATATTTTAGAATGAATGTCAAGAATCGCCCAGCCAGATCTCCTTACTTGTTCCGGTAATCTTCCACCAGGTCTTGCATGCTCTTCAATTCTGATTCCATTCGAGATTGATCACTCTTCAGTTGGTCCAATCTCTTTCTAAGATTGTTGATGTATGACTCAAAGTAGGGGTCTAAGTTTTGGGTCCTGGTGGAGGTATCTACCTGCTGCAGCAGCTCCCATTTTGTTTGCAGCACCTGGTTCTGCTGCTCCAGGAACCTCACCTAAAAACACAAAACCCTGTTACCCACTGATACAGACGTGGCACCCTATGGACACTGAGTGCCAAGGGCTACCACACAGCGAGGCCCGTACCTCACTAAGAAAAGAACTTTGATTCCTGTCTTCTTAGCCGTGACAAGCAGAAAAATAAAAAGGTGATCGAGTTAGCATCATCTTCAAAACAAAACCCAGCTCATTGTTAATTCAGTGAAGTTTTAACTTCCCCGAGAATGGAATTATGGTAGTATTTCAGTGGGAGCTTTAGAAGAAGGTAGCTATACAAAAACCAAACAGCAAAACAGATATAAAATTTCTGCAACTGCACCTTGAAATAGATACATAACACTTAAGAGATTTGCCTTCCAATTGCTTTTCGGTCAATAAAAATTGGTTTACATACACACAGTTCAAAAGTATATTGCAAGAATCCAAATTGAATACTAAATCTATTGTGGATAACTTGAGATGACATTATTATTGATGATTAAGCAAAAAGTTAAAAAGTGGTTCGCATGTTTTTTCTAGAGCAGATGCTTAGAAATATAAGTACAAAAAAAATCTCCACCATAATATGGTACCAATGTTAAATTCTCAAAGGGCAGACCTCCCCTTCTGATAGCAAAAGACGTTTGGCTCTAACTGCATACTTTCTGCTACAATATCTAATGCACTCTATTTACACTCAACTCACTTTTTATGCTTAGGAAGACTTCTCCAGGGTTCTTGTTTGCTCCCTAGAAAGTTGAGTTCACCTGATTTCTGTTATCTTCATTCAACATATGTAAGTCCCCATTCAGCCCAAGAGCTGAATTAAAAACACTTCAAGATGATGTCAAATTGACCTACATTTATGTAGACCTCAGACCCCTTTGTCCAAGAGAGAGTTTAGTCATTAACATCATTCACAAGCATACTTCTAACATATCTCCTAGAAGACAATTCTTAAAAATACTCTTTAATCATCTAAGCACAGAAAGTCGAGGCTCAACCCAAACACCCCTCAGCTGCACCAATCTCAACGGACCAGGAGCAGCCCTCCCAGTACACTGAGCAAGTCAACTCACCTTGTCAATGAAGGAGGCAAATTGGTTGTTGAGTGTCTTGATTTGCTCCCTTTCTTGAGACTTTATTTTTTGGACCTCAGGGTCAATCTCCACATTGAGAGGTTGCAGAAGGCTCTGGTTGATGGTGACTTCCTGTATGCCACCAGGGGGGCAGACGGGCCCAAAACCACCCCCAAAACCACCTCCACCAAAACCACCTCCACCAAAACCACCTCCACCAAAACCACCTCCTCTGCCAAAGCCACTACCCAATCCACCACTGCCAAAACCACCCCCAAATCCACCACCACCGAAACCACCACCCCCAAAGCCATAACCACCACCAAAACCACTACGTCCACCTCCTCCGGCCACACTGATGGAGATACTTTTGCTTCCACCGAGGTTCACAAGACTTCGACTTCCAAAGCCACCACCAGCACCCCCACCACCACATACTCCACCTGAGAATCTCCCACCACCTCCCCCCCTGCGGCACACAGAGCTGCTAGTAGTTCTGCGTTGCAAGGTGACTATCCCTGCAGACCCAGAGCTGAAGCCTCCTCCGCTCCGGTACCCAGACCTGGAACTAAAGTGTCGACTCATGTTGACTTAGAGAGAGTAGGAGCAAAGTGCAGAAAGGGAAGGAGCTAACACTCCTCTACCGCAAGCACAGAGACTTCCCCTTATATTCAGGGAGGGATTGGGTTTGGTCCTCAAGTCGGCGGGACGTAGTGCTACTTAAGGGCTTGGCTTGCCTGCAGCCATACAAGATTTTTACGCGCCTCAACAATACAATAAACACCACGCAGCTCACTCCCAGAATGGTTCTCAAAATTGCTGTGCATGCAAGATTGCTCATGTGGTAATCACTTTATCAGACAAAATCTCTCTTCAAGTGCTTGTGACTTTGGGAAAAGAGGACCCTATATCTGCCACCTGCTGCTTCTTCATAGGATTTCATAACCTCCTGTCGCAAAAATGTGCAAGTTCTCACTCTTGCCTTGTCCCTGTAAGCTACTAAGATATTCTGTCCTCAGGCCTGGCAGGTACACTTCCCTGCACTTGATCTCAGAAGGAGCTCTTCGGCCCATTTCTGAGATCTGCCCTCTAAACCCGGGAGCTCTCCAAGTTTTATCTCCTGACACAAAGTCAGAGCTTTAATAAGTAAGCAGTCAAAAGGAGTTATTTTTTTTATTAAAGGTAAGCTTTATAAATGCACTGCATTAATATGAGAGGAAGAGAAGCTGTCATCAAACAGAATGGATAGGTAGGAGATCTGGAAGGATTAGAAGGGAAAGACATGTTCTTCCCAAGTTTTCCAGTTCGTTCTCAAAGATAGACCAGGACAGGAGACAGACATCAGCAACAGAAAACAGATGCAAACAGATGGCATGCACATGACAGTTCAAAAACACAGAAAGCAGTAAGGTGAGCAGGTAGAAGCTATTTTATACATTTTGTAAAGCAAAGGGTTGGAGGTATGACTTGACAGGTGGTTCAAGTTTCACACTAGGCAATACGGAGAGATGAAGGTAGATTTGAAAGAGCAACTGGAAAGCCTGATCTAGAAGCTAAGATTGTTTCTGGGCAATAGTAATATCAATAGTAATAATAATAAAATGATAGTTAATGTATCAAAAAGTGACCATGTACCAGGCACTGTTTTACATATATTATATATTAATTTTCACAACTTTGAGATAGATGCTGTTATGTTACCCATTTTAAAATAAGAAAAATGAGGCACAGGAATTGAATAGCTTGCCCAAGTTTACTTAGATGGTAAATTGCATCACTGAGATTTGAATACTTAGCTATAGTGCACAAGATTGTAACCAGTGTGTTGTTATAACAGCACAGCAATTGAATTAGGGCTCCTTGCTTTGTATAAAGCCAGACAGCATGGGAAGCTCTCTCACTGTAGGGAACTCCAACAGCAGGAGGCCCATCTTATCCCTCTGAATCCTTGGTTCCAGACACATGCACATGTTTGGAAAATGTTCTTCAATTCACTCTGAGAAAAGGAGATTGTTTGGAGGCACAGCATGCATGGGGAGATTTTACTTCTGTCCAGGTGCAAGGGTGCCAAGCATGCATTGCAATGGGCCAGGTAACCCTCTGGTCCGGCCTGGAGAGCATCACTTGATCAATCTTAACAGGTAGTACTGGCACTGAGGTCCAGAAAGACCTCAACTCCACACAGACTTTCATTCCAAGACTTCTTATAAGCCTGACATGCTCCCCACACTTGCATGTAAAACACAGAATTCTCCAGTTCAGTGAGGAGAAGCCAGCACTACCTTCAGCTCGCTCTAAGCAACTCTAAGCGGTAAATCATAGAACTGTACAGGTGCTCTCCGCTGTGGAACACAAGATATGTAGGAAAAGGGGAGTCTGTGAAAACCATCTGGTCCTGTCATCACCCTGTGGTTCTGAACCAGGACAGCCAAGTGTCAGCCTTCTCTAGCCACTAAGTCTTGTTTTCCCACTTGTCCCACAGTTTTGTCCTATACCCTCCTTCAGAAAGTGTCCCTTGCCTCTCCACTGCTCCTCCTCCTTCCCTGCCACCTCCATGGTGCTGTTGTCAGAACTGTCTTAACGCTAACATCCTTGGGCTGCTAAACCAACCAACTCTATACAGAATGAGTAATCCAGATCTTGTTTCTGACTAGGAACAATGGGACCTGGGATAGTCTTGGTGTGGTAATGACTGTTGCCTAATCATCTTCTGAGAGGCAATCAAAAATTTTTTTTAGTTCAGCATACTCCCTCATGAGACATATATCACACTGAACAACTGATTCCTTCTAGCATTTTGGAGGGGTGTGCATATGTGTTTGCATCAGATGTATATGCATGTGTATATTCATTTTCTCACCTCTGCGAGCCAACAACAGATCTTTGCAACATATCTGTGCTTTCATCCTCCAACCAAGAAACTGACATAGAGAAAAATCAAAGAGGCGGGCCGTCAGGTAATCAACAGGCAATTTTCAGAATGGAAAAATTTGCCCTAGCTGCTACCATGAAGAGGGAGAGACACAGGGACTAGAAGGAAAAAGAAGGCATAAAAATCACCATCAGCTTATATTTGCGTAGTTCACCCCAACAAAAACATACACAAATACTATCCTGAGGAGAGCCCTGAGGACTAGGCAGTCAAACCATTTTTACAAAACAGAAAACTGAGGATCACAGATATTAAGTGACTTGCTTTGACACTCCTGCTAGGAAAAGACACCTCTGGGACTAACACCTGAGTTTTCTGGTTTTAATTCAAGTTTTTTTCCTTCTAAACTGGAGAAGAGGCTCAAGGACAAGCCATTGGAACTGGTTCCCATAAATGAGTGCACAGCATATCCCATCTGCAGGAACTCCGAGACCCCACCATCTAACCTGTCTATCGAGAAAAATGGTTCCAAGTCATACAATCAATGCCTGAGAATCCCTCAATTTCTAAATTAAACTCCTACTCTCTTTTTACTGCTTACCTTTGAGGCAACCCAATAGGGCTGGAAACTGCCCTTCTGCTAGCTAATCAACCTCATCGTTTCCTGTGATGTCCCAGGACTGTGGAGAGTGCATGGTGATAGTAAAGCAGGACATTAAAGTTAACCACACACTCATGCCTGGCTGATTTGTGTACTCTGAATTTATAAAATAAAGGCAAAATGAAAATAAAAAAAAGATGAAAAAGAAAAGAGGCATTAATATTTATAGGCATCAACTATGTGCAAGGAGCTACATCTCATTTAAACATCATACAAAGTCCACACGGTGATAGTCATTAACCCCATTTTAAAGAAAAGGCCACTCAGGTTCTTAAATACATGCCCAGGTTCCAAGTGCATGCCCACCTCCAGCCATGGGCCTCCTCTTGTCACTGGTCTGCTCCACCACCAGCGTTACTTAAAGATTTCCTTATAACCCTCTCACCTTGGGTTTTGCACTCCCATGCTTGCTGAGACTATTCAGTCCTCTTTTTCCCTTTTTCTCTGCTGCTCTCTATCTTCCAAGCCCACTTGTACTCGTCTCTTCTCTGAAAGGCCATCCAGTTGCCTTAGCAATTCTCTTCATACTCCTACCCATTGTCTACCACCGGTTAGCTCTGGAGCACCTAAGGTCTCAACTCATGAGCACTTGGGCCTGATTTTGTGTTTGGTCCATCAGGCCTTGAGGGCAAATGCCTACATCTCCTCTGCTTTACCAGGCAGCAGAAAGGCTGGCTCCTCCAGGGAGCTTTCCTTGATTAACACCACTCAGCTGATCCATTGGTTTCTTTTTCTAAACCCATTTGCTGCCAGATTCAAATACATATTAAAATATAGATTAGTCCATTTTCACATGTGTGTACACGTGTACATGTGTGTTTATGTGCGTGTGTGTGTGTTAGCTGGTCCCACAATTGTTCTATAAGCTTTACAAAAGCAAGACTCAGTCCTCTGTGTCTTTGGGTGCCGTCCTAGCACCCCCTCTTTCCCCAGCCTCCCACACAGTCCCCTGCACCTGAGGGATACCACCATCAGTGCTGGGTAACAGAACACCAGAGCACTTCCAGCCCCAAGGACTCACACACGTGCCCCAAAACTGATCATGAAGATGAGGTTTCCACAGACAGGCCATGGCTGGGACAGGTGTGGTGATGTTTTGAGAGCTTTTTGAGGGATGGGGCTGAGAAAAGAGTTGAATAGAAACATGCAATGACAAGCTGCCCAGCCCTGCAGGACTCCACCAGGAATGTGGGAGAAGGAAATTTCAGGGGAGTGGGGAAAGCCAAGGCCTGGGAGGTGGAAAGGAGGATCACAAACAATGGGGAGGCGGGGTGAGATGTTGAAAGCTGGGAACCAGCAGAGGAGGGGCTGAGGCTTCTTATACAGGAGGGAGAGGTGCAGAACTAGGGGCAGCTTATTCAGGACAGGCAGCAAAGAAGGAGGCCCCCAGGAGTTACCCACTAGCAGTGCAGGAGGAGAGTAGATGCCCGAAAGGAGGAAGCCACGAATGAGCATGTAGAAGAGGAAGGTGCAGGTGGTCTTACTTTGAGGCATGGAGTCAGACAGACCAGGCACCACTTCTGAGTGCAAATTTATAGCTGTGCAGACCTAGGAAGGTCATTTATCCTCTCTGAGCCTCCTAAGTTCCCTGGCCTGTAAAACAAGGACCGTATCTACCTTACAGGGAAACTGGAGTATGGTAGATGATAGATAGAGGGAGAAGGAGGGATTCTCTCTCTCTCTCTTGCTTTTGGAAGGACCCAGAAGATTATATAACAATCAGGAAAAGCTTTAGAACAAGCCCCTGTTTTACAAGAAACAGTGGAAAGACTCAGAAAGGAAAGGAAAGGAACTCTTGAAAGAGAGCCATCTTGTGGGAGAAATCTCTAGGGGGTCCATAAATCTGTACCAGGGAAGTGGGGGGCCCATCACATACAGGAAGGAATGCTGAGCACACCTGGAATAGAAGAAAGTGAGGCCAGATTGGGAATTACTCCCACTGTCGAATGCCTTCTCTGCAGAGTGAGAGCGATCCCCAGAGCTAAGCACATTGGGACAGGTGCAGAAGCCAGGCCACAGACTCAGAGCCCCTCACAAGACCTTCCAGCCTGGCACTGAGACATGTAGAACCAACTCTCCATGCTCAAGAACCTCCCAATATCCCAAGTTCCCAGGCTCAGCTTTCTAACAGAGTGTTGATCAACCTGAAGACATGCAGTTCCCTGTACTTACTGATCAGAGAGCTGACAAAACCAGGGCAGCAGGTCCATCAAAATCATGGGGGTTACACTGTGCTTGAAAAAGGACAGTCAAAGCACATGGCTCATAATTAGAAGACACAACCTGAACCAACTGGCCAGTAATTGAGGGTGAGGTGACATTCTTGAAAAACTTCCTTAGACCGAGAACTTTCCCAGCCCAGAAGTGCACACCTAGTCCCAGGTCAGACAGAGTGGAAATTTTATTAAACCAATGGTTGCTATTCCTGCTCACCATGTCCCCAGATTAAAATCTATGTAAATGAGAAGCTGGTGGAATTAAATTTAGATTCCCAGAGCGCCCCACCCTGCCATGGCCTCTCAGAGGGAGGAACATCTGGCAAACTTTCCCTAGGAGTCTTGCTGTGCTGAGTGCTGTGTTCCCTCCTACTGTCTGTCCCGCTGTTGATAAATGGAAGGAACTGCTTGTTCTCCCTCTGAGTATCTGCCTGGTGGGAATAGCATTGTCCAGAAACAGGAATGGAGTGCTCCATGGTTTCTAGAAGGACCACAAAACCCCCACACATGGTATCCCTAGCCCACCTCCTAGGGCCAAAGAGAATCGTATGAGATCACACATGCGGGAGCATTTTGTATACAGTAAAGAGCTAAAGAATTGCTCATTGCTCCCAATGGGATTGTTCCTTGCCTGTAATAGGAATATTGTTGGTCCCAGGGAACTTCTTCTGGTGTCTTTTACTGCTGGCCCCCATTGCTCAGGCCCAGAATATCACTTTAAGAGTTTTCATTTAGATTCTGAGATTCTCCTTGATTAACTGCTCTTTCCTTGCCCTTCATTTCTTAGGTCCTTGCTCTGTGAAATCTCTGTTCCATTTTTCTTAGAATTCAGTCACACAGTTCCCTCTTTGACCATGACTAAGATGGTCAAGTCTCCTGAAGAGAAAAAACGGGTCCATGTTTTCTGGGACAATCCCAATTCCTATGCAGAAGGATAAGGATGGGAAAAATGACCTCAGGTTGCCGTTCCCTTTGCATTCTCCCCAGAACCAATGTGGATTTCCTAACAGTATTATACACACAGGTATGATCCAGAGAGAATCAAGTCCACACTCTGTAATAGTTCTGATGGTGCCAGAAAACTTGGCTTCATTTTACAATCCTGGCTAGAGCCCTTGACCTCTCCATGACTAGATCCTCCCCTGGCATCTGATCTTAATTTTCCCAAATATAAAATAGAGAGAATTCCTTTCTTCCTTTTTCTCAGCCTTCATCACATGAATTCTTAGAGCAGCAAAGATGCAACATGCTGCCATACACAAATCCGCACCCATCCTTCACTTCCTCCCTCAACCTCCTGCCAAATGGTTAGCCAACCTCGGCTTGAAATGTGCTAACTCCCCATGTGGCCTCTCCCTCTCTCATCTTAGGATCAATACAATGGTGCTTTTTATATTGAGCCAAATCTACTGTGGTTCCCACCTGTCCATCTGGGTCACCAACAGGGGTCAACCCCCATTTGTTAGGGAAACTCTTCAAATCTTTGCAGTTATTCATCACATCCCCCTGCCCCCAAAGACTTCTCTTCTCCAGGACCATCCATTGTCCACATGTGGCCAGGTTTCTGATTCCCCATCACCTCCGTCTTAGCCACTGTCCTCTGAATGGGCTCCCATTTAGCAATATTCTCAGGGTGGTCTGACTACAGAAGAGACAAAGCAGGCTCTGCGCAGTATTCTCTTCTTGGCCCCAATGCCTATTTGTTCATGTGTTGCCACTGCCAACCAAACACTCTAAATCATGTTTATACCTGTCTTCCTGTCCTTATCCTCATGCCCTTGGTCATGGACTTCAAGTGTAGGAATTGCATGTCTGCTCCCCCTCCTTCTCTTCAGGCAGCCCCCTGCCCACCTTTCCCTTTCCCAGCCCCTCCCCCACAGGTCTGCCACCAAGACAGATGAGATGGAGAGAAACTTTTAAGAGAGAATGTAGGGGTGTGCCTGAGAACACAATGTCTTATTAATATGAGTGGCAGTGATATTTCAGTGAGTCTCATATCCAACTTCCATGTAATTCCTTCAGGGAGTGAGAAAGTAGGTCACATCTTTTATGTGACTTCTCTACACAGACTCAGAAATATCAGGTAGAATGAGGTGATAGTTTAACTTGCTCCATTCTTGAATTTCTGCATCTATGCTTCCCTGCGGGGCATCAGTGAAAGGCAACACTCATGCCCATGACCCCTGCAGGGTTGATGGCTCAGCCTCTTCTCTCCCCAGATCAGTTTTTCCTGTGAGGCTGCCCCCTCTGACTCACACACATTCCCCTTCTCTTATCTTTGAGTCTCTGAGCAGACTGTCCAGAGGCCCCTTTCCCGACTTCCTGCCCACACCTGCCCTGACTTTGTTCCTCAGCTCTGTTCCACTTTCCAGCCCTCCAGGAATCTGTGGGGTTGTCCCTTCCCCAGCATTGGCACCTGTTGCAGGTCCCATTGCACCTGCTGTGCTGGGCACATGTTCTGATTTCTCCTGCCTCTGAACCTTCCCCTCCCCCATATCATTTTGCTTGTAAGCATCCTTCAGATTTAGAAATATGTTCATTCAGCATTGCATTTTCAGTGCCTAGTCCACTGCCTGCCGCACATTAAGAGCTAAATAAATGCCTGTTGAACAAATGTCAAATTGACTTTTGAATGATCAGTCACTTTAAGGATTAATAAGATTGTGTCTGCAGGTTTTTCAAGATCGTGTATTACTTGTGCAATAAAAAAAATAATAAATTTTACTTCCCAAATATGAATAATTTCAGAGGTCTGCAGAACTTAAAGAAGAAATAACTAATCTGCTGGCCAAAAAGCAGTTTAAGATCACAGAAAAGTTTATTGTAGAAACACCTTCAACCAGGAAATGATGATGTCACAGCAGTCCCCAAGGGACCCACACAGGGCATATGAGATACTCCACGAGAATCACAAACTTGGACATTGTGTTAGGACTCAGCAAGCAAATGAAAGTGACTCCAGACCTTAGAGGCAAAGCCACCTTCCCTCTCTCAAAGTCCATTAGTTGACCAATACTTTCCCTTTCTTGTTCCCTTCAGTACATCTGAAGCATCTTATGTAAGGTCAAAAATAAAGAATCAAATTGTCACAGTGCTCAGTCACAGAGAACGGAAGCCAGAAGGGACTTTGCAGTCTGCGAAAGAGCGTTAAGCTACCTTGCAAGCAAAAAACATCTTGCATCCTGGTTCAGATTAAACTTCCCAAGACCCAAGTCTGAGCCTCAAACTCCTCAGGCCTTGGGCAGTTGGAAAGAGCAGAGCTTGGGCACTTGTCCAGCCTGTTGGACAATTCTCAGGAAGGCTGCTATGGAGCAGGTCCCAGAAAGGGCCAGGCTTCCAAAGAATGGAGCTGGTAGGAGGGGCAGGACAGAACAGAACTTGATTTCTTGTCCATCAACTCCTCCATTTGCTGCTCACTACAGTCCTCTCTGTGGACAAAAACTTGGGTTTTCTGAAATACTCCCACCCGGGACCGTTAATCTTGGGGGTGGTGCTTCTTGAGACAGAAATTCAGAATCAGGTCCAGATATGACTTATGGATGTCTGATGTGGGCAGCCAATCCACGCTTTCCATCAATATGACAGTGTGAGGCTACAGACCAAGAAGAAGGAATTGGTCCCTGGCAGGGGGACAAGCTAGCTTGCCTTGTCATCCCCCACTCACCAAAAGCCTCATTTTGTGGGTCCCTGAGGAATGGATTCTTGTTCCCAGGGCAGCCCAGGGACAGGAAAGGGAGCTTGAGACTGAGAAACCTGGTGTTTTTGACATGTTTTCCATTATCCACCTTGTAGATGCTCTTTACCCCATAGCTAACCTGGACTCTGGGCCTGCCCGGGGAAAGAGCCTGCTAGGTGGAGTCTGAGTCGAGAATGTGAGTGGCTGTGTTCTGACCGTCAGCTGGGGTCCTCCATAGATAGATGTGCTGTTCGCTGTGACCCACCTGCTTCCCCATCTAGAGTGGACTTTATTGACCAAACTGCTGAGACCCATCAGGGAAAGGTAAGTGAGAGAGGATGAGAAGGGCGTGGGGAAGGGAACAGGAGCGAAGGTCATGGAGACCTTCGTCTCTACTCCACGATATGCTTGTGGGAGGTGTTGGTAGAAGTTTGGATAATCTGCAGTTTGGAGGAGCGGCCGCTTTTGCTCCCTGACTTGCTGCTGCCTTTGCTGTTCTCTCCGTAGTTTCCGCCACTACTGCTCCCATAACCACCTCCACTGCCCCCTCCAGAACCCCCGCCACCCCCACGGGAGCTGCCACTGCCCCTGCTGTCTCCTCCTCCGCCTCCGCTGCCTCTGCTGCCCCCGTAACCTCCAGAGCCTCGGCCACCGCCGCCTCCTGAGCCGCTGAGAGACATCTGGCTGCTATGCACAGCTGTGAGGGAGAGAACAGCCCAGATAGGGGTCAGAAGGAAGGGTTTGAGGGGGTCATCTCCTGGGGGGTGCCTCCCCACCGCCTGCCTGCAGCCACCCTCAGGACAGCCACCCACGTGCTCCATCACTGATGGCATCTGACTTCAGAAAGATATATTGGGTGAAAGTATTCCCATTTCCAAAGTATTCTTCATATACAAAGGGACGTGAGGGCACATTTTCATTATTGACAGACCCTAATGAGTTCTAAGCAGTGCTGGGTATTAGGGATTGAAGAGCTAAAATCACAATTTATTTCAACGAATTTCTCCAGGCTTTGCAGTTGTATTTGCTCATTTGTGCTCATTGTGTGGGACTGGAAACCAAAATTCCCAGTGCCAGCTGGCTGCTGGGCAGCCCTGCTGTGCCCTCCCTCCCCTTAGCACCAACCAGCCCAGGTCCAGGACTCCAGTACTTACAGATGCTCACGTGACTCTGCAGCTCTCCCGACATCCTGTAAAACCAAAGTACACACATAAGCCACACCTGCAAAGCCCAAACGAAGGCATGCAGCAGCCTGGAGACATCAGGAGCAGAGATGTCCTGTGGGAAGTAAGAGCTGTCCCCAAGTTTTGTTATGCATGGGAAAGGTGTGTGGATGGGCAGAGAGGTCAAGGGACCTGTGGGGCCAAAAGGGATTTTAAGCATTTTCTGGAAGTTTTTTAGCATTGGGGGTCACCACCTGGCTGCAGTGGCTTGGGTTGGGATACAGAAACATTCTGCTTAGAGGCAGGAGAATGATGACAATGACCCTGCCAAATCATACAGCCTCTGCTTCTGACTTGAATGTTTCTGTTCATCCTGGGCTACAGATCTTCCCAGAAAATCTGGGGTGGTCTTCTCTCCAAATATGCAGCCCCACTGCTCCAGCAGTACAACCTGCACCTTGGCCCCAAAGCATGGCCTACCTGCTCTCCTCGCCCTCCAGCAGCCTGCGATAGGTGGCAATCTCCACATCCAAGGACAGCTTGGCCCCCAGCAGCTCCTGGTAGTCACGCAGCAGCCGGGCCAGGCGCTCCTTGGACTGCTGCAGGGCCTCCTCCAGGTCCTGCAGCTTCTGTGCTGCATCTTGAAGGGTCCGATCTCCTTTTTCCTCTGCATCTGAAATGACCCCGTGCATCTGGTCAACCTGCTCAGGAGATGGTCACAGAGAAGAAGTGTGCAAAGGTTAAGTATCAGGATAGGTCCAGAAGGGCATCATGGGAGGTGGAGTATCTGGTCAGCCCACCCTGAGCACCCATCTCACCTGCTTCTTGACATTGCTGATCTCAGCTTGCAGCCTCTGGATGGTGCGGTTGAGCTCTGCAATTTCCATCTTGCTGTTCCTCAGATCGTCTCCATGTCTTCCCACTGTAAGCTGGAGTTCCTGGTACTGAGGGGCAAAGGCAGTGTCATGGTCAGCCTGCTGCTTATCATGAGCCCCTCCAGGAGGGAGTGGACCTACCTTCCCAGACCCTACCCAAGAACGTTGTCCCCTGGGAAAGTTCCCAGACTCCCCGCACCTCCCCCGCCCCGCCACACACACACACTCACAGCTATACTAAACCTCCCTCATCTGAGCTGTGACCACACACACACACACAAGCACACACACGCAACCACACATCCCCCCAGGCCCTCGCCCCCCAGCCTTCCTCATTTCCACCAGTGTCTGGGCCAGCCCTACATTCTAGACAGATAAACCTGCTTCTTGATGCCCTTTTTACCTCCTTCTTCCCATATCTAAGCCTTCACATTGGTCCTTACCCACAGTGGGACCCTTATCACTTTTTCTACTGTGATATATTTCTTCCTACCCTTTTCCAGAATGATTTCCCTAGCAGTCAGGCCCTCATCTCCTCAGGGACCCTCAACGTACTCAATGTTTATTCGCATTTTCCTTTCTCTCTCCTTTTTCACGTCCTCACAGCCCTAGCAATAAGAACTCTACCTACAGGCTATGGCTCTGAAGGAAGCAATGGGAGGGCTGGCTCAAGGGAATCTCTGCTTCTGATGTTTTCACTATTGGCCATTTATCTCTTCAGTCTGATGCTGAAATCCATGCCATTCAGAACAGCTACCAACAGGACAGTGGGACAGAGCCCAGCAAGATTGGAGTTCGCCACAAGTAATCTATCCACAAAGCAGATCGGAAGTCCCAGTTGCTCAGAATTTAGTAACTGGCCTTTGACCCTTAACTACAGAGCCTTCACCCTTCAAAAAGTTTCAGGTTAATTTATGTTAAAGTAACCAAAGATGTACCCAAAGACTTAACTACAAAGATGTTTATCTGAAAGCGAGGGCCTGCTCTTAACCTGGACACCACACTGCTATTAAACATGATCTAGCATATTTAATATCACAGAACGTCATTCAAAGTGATAAGTAAAAGAGAAAAGTACAAAACTATATTTTTAAAAATCTCATTATGAAAAAATAAGAATAAAACTGTTATAATGGTTGATAGATGGCATACCTGAGTTTTATTACATTCTGTCCCTGCCACTTACTAGCCACGAGACCTTAGAGAAATGAGGTAATCTCATACTCTATTATATGTAAAATAGGGATTATGGCATCCTTTTCTCATAGAGTTGTTGCAAGGACTAAATGTAATAATATATGTAAAGCACTTAGTGCAATGTCTGGCACATATGAGTTTTCAATAAATATTAGCTACAAAGAACTGGTAGAAATATGCTGACATATTAATATTGGTAGAGGGAGGTGAGTCATCTTTGTCTGTAATTTCTAAGTTTTCTGTAAAAAACACATTTTTCTTCAGAAATAAGAGACAATACAAGTTCCGGGAGGTATGTTAAGTTTGGTATTGGCGCGGGCAGTGGGGCAGCAGGGCTCACCTTGCTCTGGTACAGCGCCTCGGCCTCCTCCTTGCTCCTCTGGGCGATCTCCTCATACTGGGCCTGCACGGCTTTGATGATGCTGTCCAGGTCCAGGGAGCGGTTATTGTCCATGGACACGATGACATTGGTCTCACTGATATAGGTCTGCATATTGGACAGCTCCTGCAAGGCATGGACCACAGGCTGACTCCTTCTACTGTTCACCTGGGGCCTCAGTTTCCCTATTCTGTCTCCTCAAGGCTCTCTGGGAAAGCCAGAAGCTTGAGCCCAATGGGATTCCCAGGGGAAAGGTCTTTGAATTGTTGCTGTATACTGAGAGATACTTAACTAAAGGTAAAGGCACCCAGGCCTAGCCTCCAGGGAGATGAAGGAGCCTGAACTCAGAGCCCTGGTGGACGTCACTTACTCATCACACCACTCTTGTGCCCTTATGTCTGCCTTACTCTGGCTTGGGCACCACCATGAGCTGGGCCCTCTGACAGGCAGACTTGCTCCTTGAAAGCACAGGGACTCTCGAGGCAATAGAAAAGATCCCATATGTGCGGTCACTCACACTAACTTTTGAGCCTGGACTTGACCTTGACTACTTGGGTAACTGAGCAAGTGATTTCATCTCTCAGTGCCTCAGCTTTCATCTGTATAATGGAAATACCCAGGACATAGTTAATATCCTAGCACAGCATCTGGCCAAGAGCAGCGCTCCCATGTTAGGCATGGGTGACTGCAGGACCAGGGGTGGTAAGAGCATGTTATTCCTCACCACTGCTGTCCCAGTCACCTTCATTCCCTTTGAGATCCACAGTGTCCTCTCCCATGGGGTTCCCTAGCAGCCCCATTGACTTCCCAGCGCTATTGAATATTTCTGGTTGGTTTTGTCCCTGAATGTCCTGGGTGTTAACCTCATTTCCCAGACAGAAATGGGACCACCTTCACCTTCTCCTAACTCAGGACTTTCTCTGCCTCCCCCTCTGCTGTGCACACACCCAGGAATCCTAAGCACTAGGGGTTAAGAGGATGGTTGAGATGACTGGGGGGAGAATTCCCTAATGGACATTGTTTCATTTTAGGCTGCCCCCTGTCTTAAAGCCCGTATGCCTTATGAAGTGTGAGAAAAGACAAGGGTTGCTCATGAACTCACCATCTCAAATAAATGTTTCAGGAAATTGACCTCTCCCAACAGAACATCCACCTTGGACTGGAGGTCTGCTTTCTGTAGGTAAGCAGCATCCACATCCTGAACAGCAAACAACGATAGTCTGACTTTTTTGTCCAGGTGTTGCCTGCCACCAGCTGATTGGGTGGCCAAGGCAAGTGGCAAAGCTTCTCTGGGTTTATTTCCTTGCCTGCAAAATTTCCTCACCTCATTCAAATAAGGGACCTGCAAAGCCAGGGACCTAGCTTTCCTGGCCAGAAGGAAGTGTGACACCAAGCTCTTCATCTTGGTCATTCACACACAGCACCTCAGGTCCCTCCCTTGTCCCTCCCCAAGCCCCAAGGTCATACATAAATGACATTCAAAAGCTGTCAGTTAATTTAATTTCACTTGCAGAGCACTAGAGAGATTAAAAACTCCAGGATTCCTGAAGATCCACATTGGCATCACTTTCAGGCTTTCCCCTTTGGTGTAAGAGTCCCAGCATTTGGGCAACACACTCAACAGTCCAACCCCCAAGGTCACCCTGTCCATCTCTCAGTGACACCACATCCCACAGGATTTCCTCACTCTGCTCAGCCTCGGGGCCCACAGTCCCTCTTGGGACACCTCCATGCCTCACCTTCTTCAGGATGACAAACTCATTCTCATTGTTGGTCCTCTGGTTGATTTCTTGCTCGTATCTGTGGGGGGAAGGTAAGAAACAGACAGGCTGCAGCGGCTGACCTTGGCTCCTTGGGAATTCTCCCTGTGTAGGGAGGTTCAGAATTCCTTAAATGCTTACTGTCCTGGACTTTAACCCCTGTCAGGGCCTGCCCCTCTCACTGACAGGCAGCTCACACTAGCTCTTGGTGCTCCAGGTCAACAAAGGAGACCATGACCCAAGGTGGAAAACCTAGGGCCACATAGAACACCCCCAGAGTCCATTTTTATTTGTAAATTGGTCAGGCCCAATCATTTTTTGAATTAAGAACTTTAAGTAACCACTTTTACTAAATTTTTTTATAGAGAAAAAGTTTCACCTATGATTCTGCCGCTGCCCCAACACCTTCACTGTGAATTTCATTTCTCCCTTTCCACTCACACACACTTGACTCTCTACTGGCCCAACACAGTAAGCTTGTCAAGGTGAGGTTAAAAGCAGCTCCCTGTACTGCCAGCATGGGGAGGGAGAGGCCGCTCTGCTGTCTGCAGGGTGCGGAGCAGCCAATATATAATTAAACAAGTCCTGTTACCCCTACTATTATTATTAATAACTAGTGCATACAGAGTGCTTAGTGGGTACAGACACAGCCTAAGAACTTACTAAGAATAACTTTATCTAAACCAGTGGATTTCAAAGTGTGGTCGCCCATCTCCCAGCATTGCCATCACTTGGAAGTATTAGAAATGCAAGCACTCCAGCCCCATCCCATACTTACCTGATCGATCTGATTTTAACAAGCTGATACACACTAAAGTTTGAGAGCTACAACCTACCCCTCACAGCAATCCAGCAAGGAGGGTACTTACTACCCGCCCCCACCTTCATTAATGTGAAAACTAAAGGCTTAGACAGATGGACTTGCAGGCAGCCAGAAAGGAGCAAAGCCCACACCGGAACTGAGGCTTTTCTGCCTCCAACATCCATGGAACTAGTGTGCCCCATCCCAACAATCGAGAGCTGACTGGCAATACCAGAGCTACTGTGAACAAAACAGTGCCCCTGCAATTGTGCAGTGCAGAGCCCGCATAGCTGTACCTGTGGCCCCGCTCCACCCCTTACAAAATAACACTGAAGCAGAATGTCTTCCCCATGAATCAGTTCCCTGCCATGCTTCCTCCCTGAGTGCGTTGTCCCCCGGGGTGCCTCACTTGTTCCTGTAGTCCTCTACAATATCCCGCATGCTTATGATCTCCGAGTTCTGGCGCATCTGCTCTGCATTGAGGAAGTCCACCTGTTTCTTCAGCCCACTGATGTAGCTCTCCAAGATGGGCTCCAGGTTGTTGGTCCGAGTCGACGTGTTTATCTGCTGCAGGAGCTCCCATTTTGTTTGTAGCACCTGATTCTGCTGCTCCAGGAATCGCACCTAAGAGCAAGAGACCTTCAAGTTTACCCCAGGTCATGGGTCTGAGAAGCACCCCCATGAGGAGGAGGATGGGCATCCCTCTAGCATGTCCAAAACTCAGAGTCAGGATGGGCCCTTGGGACCAAGACACATGAGCACAGTGTGGTTGCTGATGGTTGACCAACGGCTATAAAGTCAATTAGCCTAACATTAACACTGAGCTAACTCTGGTGTTAAAGGTAAATTCCTCCAACCCAGCCCCTTGTTGCCTTTAGCCACCCACATTTATACCATAGAGCTGTCACTGTCCCCTCAGTGTGTCTGTGCCAACAAGAGGAAATGGCAATCAGGCACCTGAAACATTGGTCATCCCAGGCACATTCCTCTTTGTGGTTGAAATGCTTTGTTGTGTGATTGAAGAGCAAGGAAAATAAGAGGAGGGAAGGAACAATTTGGCTTAGAGTATCAACTGATTTCTGAGCCCAGTTGCCTGGGCACCCCTATCACCTCTACTGTCTGCTAGTGTGTTTTTTAGGAAGGTCACCTCTTTAAATGATTTTACAATCCAGATAGAATTTTAAAAGTAAGTGTTCTTATTTTTTCATGTTGTGTAATGCATTCCAAGGTCCCAAAGTCAGGACTTTGGGGTTGTCTAGTGTTCGGGAACCACTGAGATTGCTATTTCCTTACTTCACACTGAGAATCAAAAGTGGATATCGTCCTATATTCTCAGCATGTCTTTCCCAAAACTGTGAACACAAAGGTCAGGTACAGGGTCCAGAGAGCTGGCTGGCTGTACAGACTAAGTGCATGGACTGTCCTTTGCATGATCATAATCAGCCCTCACCTTTCCTCTGCCAGCTGCCCACAGATGGGTCTTCCCTTCCCATATCTTAGGTGAAGACCACAGGTGCCTCTGAACTTTGCTCAGGTGAGCACACACTTCCTCTCTAGAATCTGTCGAGGAGCTGTCTATGGGAACAAGTCCATTGCTTGTGCTGTCAGAAGAGAACCCTAAAGACACCCCCCACAATATGGCACTAAGGCGCGTGCCCAGAATCCCCAGCCCTTGAGACTGCCCATCTGAGGGTCCAGCCCTTGTTAACACCCTTTGGGTTCTGACTCTAGGCTGAAAAACATGCGCAGAGAACACTTTCTCGCGGCTTATTTTTGTTTGACTTATCAGAGCCAGAGATAAGCAAACCAGCTCTCACAAGTTTGTCAGCACAGTTCATAACACCCCTGGGAGAAATTTCTGCCACCTGGCCTATTTTAACTCAGGCGGCACTCCCAGGGAGTGGAGGAATCTATTGAACACTTATTCACAGACCTGTGCTCCACGTTGTGGGGACCAAAAGGAAGAATTGTATGGTCCCACAGGGAATCCCCACGTCAAACAATGAGGGTGCAGTCGGACAAGTCTGGGTGCTTTGGGCTTAGCCTGAGTCCCCTTGAGTCAAAGAAACCATGGTTCTCATTAGGCCCCCCAATCTGCAAAAACAGAGATTGGCTTTGGGGAGGCAATTTTAATGGGATTTAACTAGAAAGATCATTGAAAGTCATTGCGGGTTTTCCGCAGGATTCCCAAAACACTTCTGGGCTGTGTACTTCACCAGCAATACTCAGGGGAAGCTTGACTGACATTCAGCATCATACTGAGCTAAACATCTTACTAGAAAAAACACACCACACTCAACCTCTTGTGCCCCTGTCCCTCCTGTTCATGACACTCCAGCCACAGAGATCTCCTGGTGCCGCCAGCAGTCCAGATCTCCCCAACTCTTTGCCTGGCTAACTCATATTCACACTTTAGATCTCAACCAAAGTGGCAACCAGCCCCTGGTATCTCCCCTTCGTCAGCCTTGGTTTTCACCCATGATATCTCTCATGATTTGTAGTCTTTTGGTGTTGTTTTAGCATGTCCCTCTCTGCTAGGAGTAAGCCCCATGAAGGCAGGTCCATGTTTGCTTTGTTGTCCAGTGGACACAGATGCTAAGACCCATGGACACACAGTGCCCAGTCCAGAGAAAACAGTTCATAAGCATCACGGACTAATGAAATACTAAGGGCTTTGGAATTGCCTGGCATGGAGGATTCAAGATCAGTTGAACAAAATCAAGCCAGTGTTTCCATGGGAAGAGCTGGACTTCCCTTTTTCCCCTAAGGACCCTGTCCCTTATAATTAGTTCTAAAAGAAGCCCTTGTCTCCATTCCTACTCTCTGAGAGGCAAGCCTGAACCATAAAGGGCTGACTCAATTTTTCATTCAACACAGATGTATTAAGCAATTGTCATGTGCTAGGCACTGTTCTGGGTGCTGGAGATTCAATAATGAACAAAACAGACAAAATTTCTGCTCTCCAGGAGTTTACATTCTATTCAGAAAAAAACTGTAAAGAAAGGCAAAATAGCCCCAGTCAGGTGGCTCCGTTGTTTGGAGCATCATTCTGTACACCAAAAGGTTGTGAGTTCAATCCTTGGTCATGGCACATGCCTAGGTTGCATGTTCGATCCCTGGTTGGGGCACATACGGGAGGCAACTAATTGATGCTTCTCTCTCACATCTCTCCCCCCCACCAAAAAAAAAATCAATAAATATGTATGTCCTTTGATGCCAACTTAAAAAAAATAAAGTAAAAATAAAAATAAAAGAAATGCAAAATATACAGGGTGTCAAATGACTGTAGGGTCTATGGAGGAAAGTAACACAAGTATGGTGGGTAGGGATGCTGAGATGGGAGTGCTACTTCAAATACGGAGATCTGAGAAGGCCTCTCTGAGACAGTGGCGTCCGAGCCAAGACCTGAGGGGGAGGCCAGCCCACTCTTTGGAGAGAGGAGTTCCAAGCAGAGAAAATAGCAAGTGCAAAGGCCCTGAGGCAGGACCATGCTTGGGGTGCTGGAGGAGGCAAGAATGCAATAGTGTGCTCGTAAGCAAGAGGGAAGCAGAAGAGGAGGTAGAGAGGGAGCACAGGCTACTGCAGACAGTAAGTTCGTACCCTGAGGAGCTAAATTCCAGCCCTTACTCTGTTACTAAAACTTGCAGCTTGAGAATTGTTTCATGTGGTGGTGGTAATAGTGCCTGATTCTCACGAATGCAAGCTAGGGGTTAACAGCAGCTGTGAGTTGGAGGGCCAGATTATATAGGACCTTATAGGATCTTGATTTTTATTCTAAATGATACAAGAAGCCAACAGAGGAGTGATGTGATATTTTTAAGGAATGGCTCTCATGTCATGCTAAGAATAGGCTGGATGGAGTTAAGGGTGGAAGCAAAAGGACCAGCTCTCCCTTCTAGCTAGGTCAAAGCCCTCCTGGATAAGAATTCTCTCCTCATGGTCACCACAGGCCATGTCCTTGAGAAGGACAAGAAGCCACAGTTTCTTGCATGTTGGCCTCTGCCTGAAGTCCTAACAGATATCCTATTAATGGCAGGAACTGCAGCCAAATGAGTCTCAGGAGATCAATTGCCAGCACCTGTGGTCATTTCACTGACCCCTCCCCCAACCCACTTTTGTCCTTGCCCCTCCCTTGGTCTACACTTGACCTCCCAATGGTGTCTCCTTCACCTGTCACCTCCTTGCTCCAGTCAAACACTCCCAGGCCTTTGCCTGTGCCTGAGGTGTGATGATATTCAACCAAATTTCCCATCCAAGGTGATCAGAAATAGCCAGAAGCATTCTACTCTGTTAAACTCCTTTTTGGCTATCTACGGGCCTCAACACTCTTACTGCTCCTCCCACAAGTCACACACTCTATCCCACCCCCAGCATTTACCCAGATATCAGAGGCCGGGTATACAACCCAAAGCTGGTCTTTGGCCATGGCTACTCTGCTGTCAGACCACCAGTCAAGCTCTGGCCTCAACACAGAACTCCCGCGAGGACTGAGGGAAAGTCACTGAGAATCCAGGGTGTTTCCTCCTACATCTCTGGGGCAGAAAACCTTTTGGGGATCCTACAGTAGCCACCATGGCTCCACCTCTGGACAAAAGGAAATGCAGGAAGAAGGTATTTACTGTAGGTCTTCCACTAGGCTCTGCTTGGTGATTCGGGCCCGGGCCAGACTTAATCTAAGGTTTAATCAGGGAACTAGGGAGAAGGGCCTCAACAGCTTCATCTGGCCCGTTCTTGGCTCTCAAGGAACTAAAATGAGGAACTCAGATAGAATTCTACTTAGTATGCTGTTGACATTAGCCCCCAGCCATACTCACCAGTGTGTTCACCTAGGCTCTACTACAGCTCTTTGAGGACAGGGAGTCACCTTGTGGTACATTGTCTGGCATATAATAGATGCTTAGTAAATGTCTATGGGATGGATAAGGGGATGGATGGATGGATGGATGGATGAATGGAAGGAAGGAATGATGGATGGATGCAAAGTGACTAATGATGAATGAGAATGCAGTTACTATACCATGTATTTTAACTATTGGGTATTTTCACACCTCTTATGTGTTTCCCTGCCAAAAGGAAAATAGAGGCAAATTCCCTCATTATGTTAAACTGAGGCCTAAATGAGGTAAATGCTTTTTTAAGGTCCCAGGACATACATGTCTAGGAGTGACTGTCACCACCAAACTGAGACAGCACAACGTGGTGAGAGACAGCAGGGCTCAGGGCCCTCTCCGTCACCCGGTCAGGGACCAGTGACACTGCCTGCCCCTGAGGCACTCACCTTGTCAATGAAGGCGGCAAACTTGTTGTTGAGAACCATGATCTGCTCCCGCTCCCGGGTCTTGATCCTTTGAATTTCAGGGTCCACTTCCAGGTCAAGTGGTTGTAGGAGGCTCTGGTTAATAGTCACCTCTTGGATGCCCCCCCGGGGACAAGAAAAACCAAAGCCCCCAAGTGCAAAATTGCTACCCCCAAAACCACCTCCTCCATAGCCACCACCTCCAAAGCCACCACCCCCAAAGGCACCACCTCCAAAGCCACCACCTCTAGATCCACCGCCCCCAAAACCACCAAAAGCGCCACCTCCAAAACCGCCACCTCCGGAGCTACTGCCCCTAAAGTTTCTGGGCCCTCCACATCCCCCTCCCACTCTCCCACCCTGGCAGAGACCACTGGTGCTTCTCTCCACTAGGTTCACTGAGATACTTTTACTGCCACCAAGATTGTACAGGCTCTGGGAGCCAAATCCTCTTACGTGGCTGCCATACCCTCCACCGCCACACCTCCCTCGGGCCTGACACACAGACACCACGGCACACCTCCCACCACCAGAGCCTGCGGAAGAGCCAAGGCCATAAGCCCGCTTGCTCCTTGAGCTAAACGCCGACTGAGAGCTAAACTGGCGGCTCATGGTTGCTGGAACATCCGGGCAAGCAGACAAGAAGAGCCCAGCTGGAAGGAGGCAGAGGCCAGGGCAGGAAGGAGCAAGACTCCTTTGCAAGTGATCTGGCTCAGCCTCTATATATACACACAAGCATTACCTGGGCGGGGCACTTTCCTGGTCCTGGCAGCGGAGTATTTATGTTTACTTCGCCTGCCAGCACCATCTGTTTCAAATCTCACACCTATGAGTTGCAGAAATCACAGTGCAGACAAACTTCCCCAACTTGATCATTTATCATTCATCTCTCTCCATTTAGAGATCAGAGTACAGTAATCTCTCAGGATTGAGTTGCTGGAAACTCCTCTACAATATCACCCCAAATTATTAGTTGATATCTTCTGAAGAAACTTCACCATTGAGTTGCTTATTTTGAGGATGTGCCCAGGAGATCTGGGGCAAAGTTAGGGGATGTCTAGCCACCTTGGGACCACAGCGGGGACAAGGGTGAAGTCGTCTGCTACCACAGAATTATGGCGGGGCAAAAGTTTTGTCCCCACCCCTTGCTCCTTCCCGGTCATTGTTATCATTGCCATGCACACTCCAAATTTTAATCACATGAAACATGGTATTGTGGTCACTGAGTGCAAGTGAAAGCCAGGGGATTCTGTCCAAGGCTGCACACATTTTGCTGGACACATTACTGCTTCTCTCTACACCTCAGGCTCCTCACATACAAGACAGATGAGGTCCCGTAGCATTAAAGGTCTGTGATTGTAGACTCACTGAGCATCCACCAGGCAGGACCTATCATTGTCTTCCAGACCAAAAGACAAACTCTCCTGAAACCTCTCCTGTTCTTTTCAATTCCAATCTATTACAGACCAATGCTTTTGCAAAAGAAAGTAAAAATGAATTACCTTTAAAGAGAGATTTTTTTGAAGATATATAAAATATAAGCCTCAATCATTTATTTTAGATTCAACAAACATAAAATTATTCTATTGCAAAAAGGGGGGAAATAATTAATTTCCTAAGTACTTATCCTCAAAGTCTGTATTTATCTCCTCTCAAACTAGTAACAAAGTTCCCTGGACCAGCGCTGGTGTGCAGGCCCCTGTCCTGAGAAGCACTGACCCAGAGAGCAAGCAGGGGGTGAAGTTCATTACAGGCATCAGAGTCAGCCAACAAAAATGTGTGTTTGCCCTCTGGACTCAAATAAATGGTAGCTATCATCCAAAACTTGATGATGATGGTGGTGGACAAATAACTTAGGGGAAAAAACCCTAAATGTTCAAACTCAGAAAAATGATGGCTTGCCCGCTTTGATACACTTATTTAAAATTATCATCATGGAAACCATGTAGGGGCGCTGGCAATGCTTGTGATACAATGTTAAATAAAGCTGAATAAGTGCAAAATGAACTCATAAAAATTAAGGATACAGAGAAGCCAAACTTAAAAAGTAACATAAAAGGTGAATTGATTTATTAAGGGTCATAAGAGGAACTTTTTCCCTAATATTTTAAATGTCCTTTGCCTTTCTATTTGAGCAATAAGTAAATATTTTTGCAAAAATTGAGGCTGAAATCACAGCTGTCAACAGCTATAGAGATGGGGAAAGGTGGGCGGTAAGAAAGAACAAGGCGTTGGGGAGCCGCGGTGAGGAGAAGGCACCCGAGGGCTGGGAGGGGCTGTGTGGGCAGCCTCCGGCCTCCACACCTTCAGCTCTGCTCAGTAGCTTTTAGTGGGCCATCTCCAGGAGACACCGTGGGATAAAAGAGAGTGAATCTGAAATGTACTGTCACAAGAGCTGGTTTCAGCTCCCAGCCCTACCTTTACCCACCTGTGATCTTAGGCAAGTCACTGACTCTGGAGCCTCAAATACTTAAAGGAATCAGAGTATCTATTTCTTAAGGAGTCAATGCTTTAAGGCATGTGAAAAAAAGCACAGAACACTATACTACACTCAACAAGCTAGCTGCTTTTAGATCCTTGTAGGATGGCCAGCTGTCCCACTTTTCCTAAATTTTCAGTGCTTAAACCAGGATGGTCCAGGCAAGTCAAGACAGTTGCTACGCCAGTCCTGGCACCTCAGGTCTGCACAGCCTAATCCTGACCCTAACCCCTCAGGGAGCTTCTAGTAGGAAAGGGAAGGGCCCAGGGAAGGAGACATTAAGGAGGGAAGCAGCAGAGTGAGAGGAAGGAAAGGGAAGTGGAACTAGGCACCGGGATGAGTCCGTGTGAGAGAGTTGCCTGAAGTCAAGGATTCTGAGTCAGGCAGAGTCAGGGAGAAGAGGCAGAGAAAAGGGAGGGTGGCCAAAGATTCGTGGGTTCAGTTTTGAGAACACAGCTTGAATCCTGGTTCTGCCCCTTCCTGACCCATTGGCTTAGACATATGGCTAACTCCTTCAGCCTCAGTCTCCTGGCCTGTAAAATAAGGATAATAATACCAGCTTCATGTGGTGACTATAATGAGTAGCTGAGAACAAATATGGAAGAACACGCTGGAAACTCCAAAGCATCCTCCCAGTGTGGTTCCCTCCCCCTCCACCTCCTGCAGCCTTTCCTGAAGACCCCAGACCATAGGAGCCCTCCTCTCTCTCAGACACAGCACGGCTCCGCATCGCTCACTTTCAACTCGTCCTGAAGAATGCAAATAACCAACCCCTTCACGTGTGTCTATTGCCAACTAAACAAATAGGAAGCACACCCAGCTTATACTTACCCTTCTGCTGAATGTGGGGATTTATTAAATTGTGATCAAATAAAAGAGGAAGCCCCAGGCAGCAGAATTTAGAAAACCTCTTTGGTCTCTGGCTGTGATCAGCTGCCACCATCAACGCCAACACTTCAGTCCCATCATCTGGGTGGCCCCTGGCGGGGGGGACTGCTGTCACTCCCTTACGAGGTGGGGGAAAGGTGCCCAGAAAATACGACTAACTCAGCATTTGGTGTAGGGTGATAACTATTCTCAATCCCCTTATAAGAGGAGGAAATTGGCTCAAAGTGAAGCATGAGAGAATTTACGTATCCCCAAAAGAGATACTTAACCCCAGGTCAATATTAGGTGGTGGACAAAGTTTCTCGGACAAATTTCTATCCTGAAAAGAAAGCCTTTAACCAGTTGGACAGCTGAGAGCGGTGTTTTCTAAACTTGCTTCACGTTGGAATCACACGGACAGACTTAAATCCACTGGTGCCTGGGCTCACCCTTAGACTGGACTTCACTGGTTTGGGGTATAGTCTGAGCTTTGGGATTTTTTTAAAAAGATATTTATTTACTTCTTTGTTTTTAGACAGAAGGCAAGGAAGGGAGAAAGAGAGGGAGAGAAATATCAGTGTATGGTTGCCTGCTGGGGACCTGGCCTGCAACCCAGGCATATGCTTTGACTGGGAATTGAACCAGCAACCCTTTGGTTTGCAGGCCAGAACTAAATCTACTGAGCCACACAAGCCAGGGCTGAGCTTTGGGGTTTTTGAAAGGTCTCAGGTGGTTTTAATGGGCAGATAAGTCAAGACACCACTGGCCTGGAGGAAGCAGAAGGATGAATGAAATGGCCTCTTGAGATTTCCATTCGGTCTGAGAATGAAAGAATAATAATGATCATCATAATAATGATCATCATAATAATAACTAACCTCTTATCCAGTGCTTTCAGCGGACCACGTACTGTGCTAGGTCTGCATGCATAGTCTAAAAACCAATATTATAAAGAAGATATTATTATTATTATTATCCTTACTTACAAATCGTGGATAAGAGACTTGGAGAAAAAAAAAGTAACTTGTTCAAGAACACACACATAAATGTGGTGGAATAGATATTTGAACCCAGGCACCCCGACTCCAGGACCCACATGTATCACAGAAGAGGTGGGGGATCTTTGGAGAAAGAAGTACCCCTTTCCCCCTCTCCGCATCTCTCCCCACTTGCTCTCCTTTAAAGGGAAAGATGCTAGTTGAAGACTCCAGCTTGCCCTGCTTGTCTCCTGGGGACTGAAACCAGAGCTGCTGAGAGGGTGAGGCCCAGGGCAGTTATCAGCCAGCAGATCAGTCTCGGGCAGGGCAGCGGTGGGAGGCAGGGCTGGAGAGGAGCTGCTGGTGTGACTGGCAGGATCGGGCCCTACAGATCTGCTCGCCATCTTACCCCGCATCACCCAGGTCTGGGGGTGGCTATCAGTGGGAAGCACAGAAGCATGGCAGGGGTGTGGGACCAAGACGCAGGGCCCCTTGGGCAGAGAAAGAGGAGGAAGGAGAATTTCACTCAGCAACCCCTGCCTGGAAAGGAAGGAAGAGCTGCAGCCCTGGTGTAGGTATGGGGGCCCTTAATCTCCTTGCAATGGGAGCTTGTGGACCCCTGGGCACCAGAGGAAGGCTGTGATGTGACAGGGGTCATCGAGAGCAGCCTCCTAGACCTGCATCAAGACTCCTAGCCCTGGCCCCCCACACCTTAGGCCACTGTTCTCACTGCAGAAGCGTGTCAGACCTAGACATGTGACAGAGACCATCAGCCTGGCTCCTTCATTTTATGAAAAGGAGATAAATACAAAGAAGGAAAGGACTTGGTCAAAGTTACAGAAAAAACAACTTGGTGGTTCAGGTAGAACCAGTCGGGTATCCTCCCTCCCAATCCAAAAAAGAATGGGGGCCTATGAGGAATTCCCAGCAGCCTCTGTGCTCCTGCAGCCTGGAGAGGTGGCGTACAGGGAGCACCCCTCTAATCTCTAACTGGCCCTGCCTGCAGGATGGGAAGGTGACGCTGGGCACACAGCAACGCGCCTGGTAAATCCTTCTGATTTCTGGAGTAGGGTGGGCATTGGAGGCAACAACTGCACCTTTAAGTTCCTCCTCAGCCCCCAAACCAGCCAGGCTCCCACCTCGGAGAGCCTTTTAACTAGAATCCCAGGGCCCAGCTAGAAACTAAGGATCAGACAGCGTCTCTCTTTCTCATTAAACCAAATACGTGCTCTTGGACCTCGCAAGGTGTCAGAGCGGCCCTGCACATCTTCATGGCCAAGGTCCAGGGGTGACATTGTCCTGAGCATATTAAGCTCTTCCATCCAACAGGCTAGAAGC